GGGGGAGGTTCATCTCTCATCATGGAGGGGTGGCAATACTGAATTGCAGAGGTTAATTACTGCACCTGAACTGAACAGTGCATTCAGGATGCACTAAATATTCTTAGTAACTGCAGACACTGAACATCAGCATTTCAACTGACCCTATTTTATAGGCTTTGAAACACCAGCTGCACATCCTGCTTCTTGAAAGAGATCCCAGAAGCCACTGGCAGGAAGATTAAAAGGTAGGAAGGCCTTTGAAACCTGTAGGCTCTGCCATGTCACAGGGTAGCAGCTCAGGCACTGCTCCCTTCTCAGTGTTGCCCCTTTTTTGATGCACAAAACTGTACCTCTGTTGAAGGAACTGCCATGTGGAGGGCATGGCTCAGATGCAGAGCTTTAGTTTGTTATATTGCACTGGATAGTGAAAGAAGATGCCATGGGACAGTGGATCCCTAGAGAAGGAAAACTGTAAGACTGCAGCTAACAGCTTGATGAACTCAGTATATGAAGCAGGGTATCAGAAAGTATCAAAGTACCTGCTGTTTGCTTATTTTTGTTATTAACAAAAGGCATAAGAGATTAACAAAGGCATAAGAGAAAGAAGTTAAGATTTGTGGTCCTGCATAGAATCAATCAATAGAAATTCATCCACATCTATCATTATCCAGAACAAAGTTTCATAATCTATATGCACATGCACATAGTAACAGACGAATTAAACAAACAAAACAAAACACCAACCCCCCCCACACACATATAGTTCTCTTGTGTGTTTTTAGATATGTACAGGGAAAGAGATTCATGCATTTAATAATTAATAATAATCCTAGAAGAGTTCAATTTGCTTTGGGAGACTGAAATTCATGGCTTAATACACTTAGTGAAAGTTTTGCACTTCTTTTCTGGGTTTGGGCCAGAGTTTCACCTGTTATTTGTATAGATTCCTTTACTCTGAATTCTTACATCTGATATAGCTATTATAGCTGAATTACAAGACCTAAAAGTCTTTATATATGCTGGAGTTAGTCTCTGAATCTGAAAAGAAACTTCAAGAGAAATCAGCTCCTGCTCCAATGGAATGAGGAATTCTGCTTTCCAGTATTTCAGTCATGGGAATTGGTTTTAGTTCTTAGGCTGATTGAGATTGTTGTCATAACTTTAATACCACGAGTATATATAGGGTCTTATGACTAAGACATTGCTACCTTTAGATTTAGACTAAATCAGCATGATTCAGCAAATGGCACCAAAACTGTACTGGTAAATAAAAATAGAGTAAAATGCAAATAAATAAGTCAGGACCAAGAGCATAAAAGTTAAAAATAAAGGCCAAAGCTTGGAATGTGACATAAGGAAACACCTTGTGCAAAACAGTAGCGATTATAAAAATTATACACACTAAAACTATGCATTCATGCTTCTCTGGATTGAGATAATTGTTTATGTTACAGCTGTGGAGAAAAATTGTTATCAAAGTTGTTGACAATTGTTGACAATTTTAGTTTACATGCCTAACAGGAAATATGATTTCAAATTAATAAAGCTGTTATGTTTCCAAATGTGTGTATGTACATATGAGGGTTAGAATGACCTAATTGAAAACTAATCCTTCATAAATTAATCCATTTTTATGCACCCAGATTTGCTTTGTCACCTTGAAATATATTGTGAAATTACTAAAGGCAAATTACCAAATATTGGAGTGGAATAATTATGACTTCAGTTAGCTTTTGCTAGATGTGAGGTATGGATGATTTATAAGGAATCAGAATAAAGCTTCTTATATTGATATTTAAATTTTAATTTATTTACAAGAGAAAGATTAATATTTTTATAGCTTTAAGTTGGTATTTGTCCATTCTTCTAGGTAGTGTATATATAGTAACTTGCAAAGATGAACTAATAAGGCAGGAGTCGGTGTAACTTTAGTGCGTATATGATCTTTCTGCATTATGAAATACATCATCTCTATTTCAGAAGAGGCAGGGGACGAGCCTTAAACTCCTAAAACAGTTTGGAGCACACACCTATTCACTGCATAGAGATAATGTGGCTGCTGTGTGTGCTGTCAAAGACTGAGAATGTAAGAAAAAACATCATTCTGTGCTTCACGGTGAAGAACTGCCATCTCCTGCCACGTGAACTAGCGTGAGAGAACCAAGGTAGTGTGAAGTGATCTGAGAAATAGCAGTTCAGAGGAGTGCAGAAGAAAGTCTAGCAATGTAAGCTTTGTCAGTCCACTTTGCGGTTGCCTTTTCTCTGCCAGAAATAGCAGTTTCATAGAGTCAGTGAACTAACTCCTGCCTGGGCAGGGACTCCTTGCCATAGAAACTAATTGCCAAAAGCAGGAAAGCTCTGGCAAGAGAAGACCTGCAGTGGGGTGCACTAAGGGAAAATGAACGCATTGTGTGCCTTGGCTTGGCATTGCCTACTGCAGATCATCCTACTAGAAGCCAGAAACTGTACAGTTTATGCTCTGATACACCCATCATTTACTTACTCTCAGTTATCTAGGCTTGCCACTTCATTGTAGCAATGGACCCATCAAATTTCACCTGTTTTTGTAACTCAGGACAGCAGCTTGTTCTGGCCAAGAAGGTGGTTTTTCTCACCCGGATGCTCTTGATCTTACCCCATTATTTACTGTGTGCCTCTGAAACACTGACAAAGGTAGGGAAAAAGCAAAGGTCACCAAACAGCAAATGAGAAGAAGGAACAACAGCGAGTCAGAAACAAAAGAATTGCTGCTGTCATTAACCAAACATAGGAATAATTAAAAAAACAAAACAAAACAAAACAACAACCCAAACACGAAACCAAAAATAGTACCTACAAATCCTGTTCTGGAACTGAAGCCCTAAAGTCATCCCAGGAATAAAAATTTGATTTTTTGAATATGCAAAAGTTTCTACTTCTGTATATGAATTGGAAAAAGTAATTCACTGCCTGCAAAATAAACAGTTGAAGTCTTTGATGTTAGTGAGAGTAAGCCCCCTAACTGGCAAAAACTAAAATATTTTCAATTCATCTTATTAAAAATAAAAAGGAAACCTCAAAAACATCAGATCAAGTTCTCATTTCTATGTAGAAAATAGTTTGTTGATCAGTCTCTGAGCATAAGTTTGCAGAGACACTTGGCCCCACAAGGCAGTTACAGATATTCCTTTGTTTTAATTAATAAATCGTACTTTCTAGGGCTTTAGAAGTATTACATTAATAATATGTCTTGGTCTGGAACAAATTTATACCATTACATTATATCCATCTATTTTATAATATTCTACCACAGCTTATATTAAAAGTTTTTAAAAATGCATTTTTATAGAGCTTTAATTTAGATTTAATGTTTATCATATGAATGTAGTGAAAGAAATTTGCAAAAAAAAAAGTCTTTATATAAGCTCTGTAAATAAAAGGACTCAAAGGCTGTAAATATTAAAAGTATTTTTAGGCAAGTATTTTACTTTCCATGCTTTTAATTGCCACTGCCAATCAAAACCAAGGTTTATGAGAAACCTGTACTTTTCAGGAATAATCTTTTAAAGAACATATTAATTGCAGTTTAATCAACAAATGTAACACATTTTCAGATTTATTTAGTTTTTAATTAAGCACAAAAGCATTTAGGAAGTTTAGATTTTAAAGGGAGTCTTCTGACAGCCATTCTTCACAGAAATCTATCACTAGGGTATCAGTTTCAATGAGAATTCATCATGTGAGCTGCTGTGACCCTCTCTCCACTCGTCCCACCTCCCCCAAGCAGGGGTAGATACAGGTATTTTGAAAGTTAAACATGGCTGTCAGTATCCCATTCTGAACATTATGCATGCGCTGCTCTGGGTCAGGAATTTGTTGTCCAGTCTTACCTCATTCCTGGAAAGCGACTTCAGGATCTCCAGTTGTATCAGCTTCTTATCAGCAATATCATTTTTTGCAGGAGAAGTAAATCCTAACTTGATGTTCTGAATCCAAGCAAAGTTAGCAATATGGGCCTCACTAAGACTATATTATATAGTTGTACTAAACAGAAAATGTCCTATCACTTAGTTAAAGAGTGTTAGAAATTGTTTTATTCATTAAAGCATTTATTCCTCAACAATTTAGAAAATATTATAGACTTAAAAAATGACAGATTCCATAAGTAATAATGGAATAGGAAACTTAGGGTTCAGTCAGCTCACGTAAATATCTCATTAAATCAGCTCACACCAAGGCTTTCTTTCAAGCCAAGATTAGGGTCTGTGGTTACTTGAAAATTCCATTCAAGTTTTCCAGCTCAGCTAGCCTGTGCACTTACAAGTGTGAAACTAAAAGTTGTTAATCCTAGTGGGGAGGTAAATTAAATTTCACAAGTATAAACATTGGAATTGTAAATTTCATCATTTTATTCTTTCTCTGCCTACTCTCAGAAATCAAATCAGTATTAGCAACAGTCCAGTACACTTAATGCTGTATTAAAATACATGAGTTGGGCATATAAAAAATACATGTTGTGGGCCTAACAAGATTATGCCTTGTGCAATGGTAATACTGTCTTTTCTGTCAATGCTGGAAGTTCTTGCTGCTGGCAATGTACCAAGGGCTGGCTGCTGTGACAGCCAGGCTGTTTCTCTGGGGTAGAGAAGGGCACTATCCCAAACAGTGCCTCGCTGACTGTGTGACACGAACATCACTGTTCCCATGTCCAGACATGCAGGACAGTGAGCTCTCTGCACTCTCAACCTGCTCTGTCTTCTTAACAATAAAGCATAGGAAAAGTCAATAATTTGTTTGACAGAGCCTGTCTCCCAAAATGAGATATATCCCAAGGTTTATTCTCACTAATTTTTACTTTGTTAGACTGGAAAAAGCATTATTGTTAAGCTTCCTGCCACAGATTTAATACCAGATCTATACAGTATCTTATGACTACACCATTTCTGCCTTTGCAAACTGAATTGTAGTATGTTTGTACATCTGGGGGTTTATTATTGATAATAGCTGCTATGTCATGTTTTCCAAAATAGGAAAGAAAAACACATTTTTAAGGTTATGTCTTCTTTTTACTGTTAAGTCACAAAAAGTGTAATTTGCTGCAAGCCTACAAGTCCATGAAGTCTATTGCCCATCTCTTCTGATCCTGGTGACAGAACATTTTAAACAAAACTGGAAGTATGTTGACTAGAAATACAGATTCAAAAGCCTCTGTCCTGTTCAGCAATACGTAAATGAGAGTACTTTAGTGTTTTTCTAATCAGAATAAAATTCATGGATTTGAGGGTAGCTGTCCTGTTAGAGCTGCATAGCACAGTAGGTACACAGTGATGCCTATGGTGACAAGTGTCCCATCAATCGTTTTGCAGCTGGTATGGAGCTGACTGCAAACCAGCTCAGAAAGAGATTAACGCATAACAACTATGAGAAACTTTTGTGTGTGTTTGTGTGTGTGTACGAGAGTGCCAGATCTCTGAGGAAAATCTAAGCTGTTTCATAGCAAACTCCGATTTATTTTGTGGAGGGTTTTTTGTACTATGCATGCATTTTTAACAATTTCTCTTAGCTTCATTACCTCCCTAGTGTCCAGTTTAGACAATGTAAATATAACATTAAATACAACAGCTCTGTGACATTTATGCATTTATAATTAAAAAAAAACACACAAAAATTAAGATTACCCTTGTAGTTCTTGTTTCTTGGTCGTTTTGGCCTTCAGGAGGTGATTCAACTCTACAGTTTATATGGGCTCCCCCTCTGTCTGTGGGTGCTGTCAAGCTCAGGGCATTTCTGCCAGGAATTCCAGGGTCTCTTGGTTACATAGGATAGTGCTGATGGAGGGAACTTGTAGGGAACACAAGTGTGCTCTTAATTTCAGAGGAGTGTTTTGCTGCTACAGATCTTCCAGCTCCCATTACCTGATACAGGGTAGGCTGATATAGACACATTGGTGTCAAACAGTAAGTCCAGAAGACTAGCTCGTAGCCCAGGTTCTCTCCATCCTCATCCTTTTGCTGCAAAGTCAGGTGGACAGTGATTGGGAGTACCAAAAGCATCTTTGCAGAGATGCTGCAATCCTTCCTGGACTAGATAATTGTGCTAAAAGGCCCAAAAAACCACAAAAGCAGCAGTCTGTAAAAAGGTTGGTTTAAGCAGAATTTAATGTAGCTAATAAATTATTAGGTGTTTCTTCCTGATTTTCCATGGTGTGATTTCCTCTGATTCTATTCCTTGGTCTGACTCTCATGGATTGTGTTTTTGGCCTCAGTTTTGTATCACTATCCCCCTCTGTGCTACTTCTTCATCCTGACACTCCCCTTTATTTTCTTCCTTCATGCTGCCCAATTGCCAACAAATTAGCCTGCAGTACTGTTGGAGGCAGTCCTTTCTTCTTTGAGGAAGGGAAGAAGGAGGAGTTACAGGAAAGCCATGTGCATTTCCTGCATCTCCAGAATGAAGGTACCGGTTTAACCGGTTCAGAGGAAAGATATCCAGCACAAAACAGATCTTCTGAAATTTTTAGCTCACTACTTCTAACAAATGTCTACTGAAAGCGCACAGGTGAAATTTTTCTAAGTCTCATAACACAGCCATATTTCAGCTCACTTTGGCAGGAGAGATAAAAATGCCAACTGATCCTGCCAAACTGCTCCAAAGCAGGGTGCAAGGATAGCTGGAATTGTATAGCTATGTGGTTTTATTTAAGCATAAACAGTTTTTGCCCTGCTCTCCCTCCTGGCAAAACAGTACTATTTGAACTGAAACTGCACAGAAAATATACCTGAGACACCTGGGATGGAAAATTTTGTTCTAAAAGATTAATATTTGACATTATAAGCATCAAAACAAGAGACAATTAAAGCTCAGAATCGAAACAATCGAAACATTAGGCAAGTTAAATATTTTTTAAAGCACGCTTTCTACTTCATTGACCTGTCCATCAAAATATCAATAATGTGTACTTATATTAAAAGGAATGTAAAGTCCTCTTTTCTTACTCCTAAGTAAGAAAAGTAAACAAACTATAAATAGCACTATAGGCTCTTTCAACCCTCTTCAGCACTGATAATTAGAGCGAGCTGAGTAATTTTTGATGGGGAAAAAAAAATAAGCAGAGAATGCCAGTTTGTCAGACTCAGATTTCTGAAGGGGAGACTCTTAGGATGACTGCATTTTCAATGAAATACAG